CTTGACCATCTCACAATTAAAACAATCGGCCTTTTTCAAGGCCACCACATACTTCATACGTAGATCAAACTCACAAAACTTGAAAATTAAATGATAAATACTTATAAATTATTAGCGCTGTATTCACTCGTTCGGGTTTGCATAGATTACATATACGAACAATGTTCTAATGATTGTAATCAGAGTAAATGACGCTAAGCTTGGAGTAAATGTACGAATGCCAAACGGTAATTTAATAAAAGCATTGTCTAATACTCACCTGCGTAAAAAAACTTTTTAAAGAAATATTCGTGAATTAGGATTTAGTTGTGCTTTGCAATTAAAATTATGGAAGGATTTCCCAAAATTGTGTTCGATCTCGACTTGGTTTCAATATTGCACAAAATGTATGATCATTCCCTTATAAAAATTTCCAATAGGATCCCGCAAAATTCCTATTGGAATCCTATAGGACTCCTGTAGGAATTTCGCGAGATCCTATAGGAAATTTTTATAAGGGTTTATTTTAATTTTTACCTTTATGCGCCCGAAATATGAATTTATTGAGATTATTTCAGTAGTGGACGCTGTACGACTTACCGTTTGTATCTACACAATCGCGAAAAGTTAAATAATTGATAATCCTGCAGTTCAGGCTACGCCTGTGTAGGTACAAATGGTAAGTCGTACAGCGTCCACAACTGAAATAATCTCAATAAATTTGTATGATTATTTGTTTTATATACAAATAAAGAAAATTGGTAGAAATCCTTGCCGCTTTTGTAGTATTGTTGCAAAATATGCGACGGTAAGAATGTTTCTCGTATTCTTGATAAAATACATGAGTATAAATCTCATGAGATTTTAATATTTGTGTTAGCTTCACAATATTCGTATGAATGAAAATTTGAAAATTGCCATTCCTGGTAATGTTTACGTTAAATTTTCAACTTTTTCTTATCTTGAAAACAATTTTTTTTATGAGTTTTATAAAAGTATCAAAATTAAACTCATCCTATTTTTAATTTTCCAATTCTGATTACCGAAAGGACCATCAAGCTTTTGATAAAAATCATCACTAGGTAATCCTCAGAAATGTATTTTTGAAAAAATGTGAGTGAACTGCGTCGTTATCCGAGCCTACTACACTCGAAAGAAAAATTCGACTCAATTTTTAGTATTTTAACTATTCTTTTATAAAATCCTATAATTCCGAATCCCTATCGTAAATCGCTACCAAATTATGAAAAAACATAGTTTTTGAATAGTAAATTAGTAAAAATAGTAAAATAGTAAAATCGAGTGCAATTTTAATTTTGAATGTGCGTACCTTTTAAAAAAAGTTATGTACAATATAAACATGGGCTTTGTTCATTATCACGTCAATTATTGATTTTGAATGCATTTTAAGCGAATTCCGCGTAGCACATCAATATCTTTACTTTAAATGGCATAATTCATATTGCTTTAGTTCTTAATTTTTAGGAAAAGATACCAATAATATTAAATCAAAAATGTCTGCAAATGACTGGAACAGTGAACAGTTCGAGTTATAAAATTCTGAAAATAAACCGAGAGAAACTTGTAACAGGCAGTCAGTAGTTCTCAAAGAACTACAATCTTCAAATCGTAGCTAATGCATCAATAAAATACAACTAAAAATTGACAATCGTTGCAAAGGTACTTTTTGCATCAAAAGTTAAAAAGAATAGTTTAAGACAATAGATAAATGTTATCTTGCAATATGCTAATTGTTTGCATATATGTATCTGTAAGTAGCCTTATGTTAGGAAAAAGTCAGACAATTCCAATCGTGATAAAATTAAAAAATAGTGTAGAATCATACATTTGAGAAGTAAACAATTATTTATTTTTTAAACAGTCAGAAGAATAACAAAGTTATGTACATTTTTACAAACAACCGCATGGATCATAACAATCAACCTTAAATAGGATTGAATGAAAATATACCATCTCTCGTACAATATTCAACAATAACATCTTAGCAGTAACCAACGATGTAAAATTTGCCTGCTTACTTTTTTTAAGTATAAAAAATATTCAATTATTTCTAGAGGCACTGGCTTTGACCGTCTGTTCTTTTAACCATTCTCGTTTTGATGCCTTATCATTTAGTTTTTGTTTAAAAGCTTGAAACAAAACTTCAATGCATGGGTAAATAATTGGCAATAATTTGAGTTGTGACAAACTCACATGCATGAAATCGAAAGCGACACCAATGCGACTAAAATCAACATTAGATTGATCTTTGTCCGGAAGCATTGGTAATTTACTGTAACGCTGTGAAAAATGTGTTAGTAACGTGAATTTAGCTTCAGCTCTAATACCAATGTTAATTGCTTGAGAGATAGTTGAATGCCGTTTTATCACGGCTTGGTGCTCCAAACCATCTTCCATAGTTGCTTCGTGAATTAGTAAATCGCTGTGTTTAGCCAATTCAACAAATCTATTACATGGAATTGTATCACCACTGAAATAAATAATGAAAGTTAAAAAATCAAGTTTAATATTTGAAAGAAAAATATTTTTTATGTTAAAATTATAAAAATTACTATTTAGAAAACTTTAACTTTACCTGTAAGCTATTTTTTGGCCATTTTTCAAAGTTATTGTAACACCATAAGCAAAAGGACAGTGTGTTACAAAACAGGTACTAATATTTTCAATTCCTAGGGCATTATACATATCCTTTGATGTAATGGGAGACAAAATTGTTTTATTTTGTAAAATATCTCTGTTAGAAACTAATCTTATTAGATTAGTAATAGATTCAAAACGATTATGATAAAAGTTTAAATATGAAGCTATTTGTTGAGGTGCTAGTACAAATAAATGCTCATTTGTAAATCTTTCTCTGTGTTTTAAGATTCCAATTAGTCCTAAATGATGATCAGCATGCAAATGAGAGATGTAAATGGCCTGAAATTTTTTTCATTCATTACAATTTGTATTTGTTTAAACATTATATTTTAATTAATATTACCTTTATAGATTTAAATATACGTTCAGAACCTTTGACTCCAAAAAATCGAATTATTTGTCCTGATGTTCCCTCTCCACAATCTAAAATAATACTGCGATCTTCGTCTAGTTGCAATAACATTCCACTTGTATTCCTTATTTTGTTTGGTACTGAAGAGCCAGTTCCTAACATCAATAGCTTTGGATATTCGCTATTATCTAAAAATTTTGTTGCAGCGTTAACTTCTGTTTGAGCTTCGGCAAGAGCATCTAGAAAACCATCAGTGTCGAATGCCCGTTTCACATATTTTTTAGGATTCAGCCAAACATGAGTTGGTTCAAAGCCTGTGAGTGGTCGTAAGTGTATAGAATTGAGAGTTTTCACATTTCTTATTATAAGATCATCTGGAACCTGCTTAAAATGAAAAACAATGTAGTCATTTCTATTTATTGAAAATTTATTATATTTACCTTTAAATTATTTTCATCGTCTTCTATTTTAGTGTTGTTGGCAATACTTTCTTTTTTATTTAGATTATCAGAATTTTGTTGAGAAAATGACTGTTGATTTTCAAAAAATGGAAATATAGTAGGATGAACTAAATGAAGCTGATGTTGCATTTTGTGCATACCTTCACTAGCACAATCTTGATTACTTTCATTAACTATTATATGTTCAGTATCCAAACCAAATTTACGCATCCATTCTTGATATTTTGGATTGTATAATATATTATCAGGTGTGAAATGAATAATATGATTGACTCTATCTTCTTGTTTTGGATTATTGTTTTGTTGATATTTTATAAAAGAAGGATTCTGAACAAAAATGTCAAGATAATCTTCATTTGGACATTCAGCGACTGTAAAAAAGTATTTTATAATATCTTAAAATTTATATTAATTATAATTATAATTGAACTTATTTAATTCACAACTTACCAATGAAAGTAGAGCCAGGATGATCAGATGAAAAAACATCTTTACTTTTAACAATGATATTATTTGGTAGAATAACATCTTCACCGTTTCTGAGTTTTGATATATCTGGACCTGGTTTAATGCCTGCATCTACACATTTTTCTAAGTTTAGCATTCCAGGCTTTGGATGTATTTTACAGATATAAGTCATGATACTATCTATTCTTTTTTTATCAGTCATTATTAATCTAGGAGGAGTTGCTGTAAGATGATTTGGAGTACGATTTTTTATACTGGTTTTGTTATAGTCATAATAATTAATATCTGTATGTACACTGTTATCTACATAATAAGAATTATTTTCATTGTGAATTTCACTAACTACTTTTGGATTTTTCATTTCAACATATGTGACAGCCATAACATGATCTCTAAATATATGATCAGTGTCAGCAGGAACAACTTTCATTTCATCCAAAGTTACAAAATTTTTGGTTGCTTCAATAATGTCAATCAAACCCTTAGGGCCATGTAGTTGAATTGTTGAGACTCCTGTATTTTGAATAGTAAGAGTGACTCCAGGTAAACCACCAAAGTTTTTCCATGAAGGTCTGGTTATAAATATATGATTTATCTGAGTCAATCTATTTATATGTTCATTGAATAATCGTTGCGTACCTTCTCCACAATTGAAAAGGTAATGCGTATTATCCGTGACAAGTAAAACTGCTTTATTCTCTGCATGACTTCCATTACCAATTATCTAAGAAAATACATAATAGTATCATAACATTAAGTAAATCACAATTCTATCAATTTTCAAAATTATACTTACTTTGAGGTATATTTTTGATGGTATAGATCTAGGAGTTTGTGCTTTCATACGTGTTCGCTGTTTTTGCAATTCTAACAAATAAACACGTTGATCTTTTGGGGTAATGAATGGTCGAAATTTGTTTTTGCTATAACTTCGAATAATCGCATAATTTTTAACCCAAGTTGAATAAACTTTGGCAGTTAATCTAAGTTTACTGAAGACCATGTTTATTATTTATCAATTAGAAACAGGATTGACAAACTCAAATTTTGTATGACTATATCACATATGATGCCGTGAAATATTTAATATAGACAATTTCTTTACTGTTTTTTGAATTATTTCATTTTTTCTGCCTCAACAATAAGAGAGAGCAATGTGCACGAAAATGATACGCACTAGTGTCGTTTGATCGTAGCAGACGACTATTTGAATTTTCTTCCTTACCCACTTTACGCGGCATCTTATTAACCATTTAAAGTACAAGTAGTCTGACCCGGAATATTTGATATAAATTCAGATTTATTTCTTTTTGACCTCGGTATAAGTTTCTTCTTGAGATTATAAAAACAAAAAAAACTAATTATTTTGAGTATTTCCTAACTTAACAAAATTGTATCAAAAATGAATATCATTAAAGGCTGACTGTGTTTCCAAAAATTTTAAATGAATTCTTCGCAGTTAAAAAAAAAATAGTTTTATAAGTAATTAATTAATAATGAAAGGAATGAAATATGTTTTATCAAAGTCAAAAATAGTTTCCAATTTCTCTCTGTTGTATATACTTTCACTCGAATATAATATGATAAATAATGAGTTTCAAACGAATAAACATTTAATATACGTCGTCATTTATTAATTTAATTTTTTTGTTACTCTGTGAAATACACTTTCTTATACTTAAAATTCAACTTAAAGTTTTGTTTACAAAAAAGTCACAATTTTGAAATGAAAAGATAATCGACTGAATGATTTAAAATTTACCACATGATTTCTTTTGCACAGTTATAAAAAATGTTATTTGTACATATGATCTCCTATTAACCAGAAAAATGTGATGGATTTAAGCTAATTTCTTGTTTATATTATAGTACTGCCAAAAACTAGATAGAACTTCTGATTAATATCTGTATTAAAATGAAAAGGAAAATTGAAGAATCCGTATTAAAATATATTCGTAGTAACTGTTCATGTTCTTAAAATTCATATATTTGTACACGTAAATTTAAACTTTTTCAATTTTATTTTCGGGTAGCTTTTTAGGAAGAATCCCAAAAAATCAAGGGATTTCAATTAAGATTAAAAAACACATTTGTGTATTATTATTCATACTTATTATCATGACAAACAGATGCAAAAATTCAGTTTTAGGGTATAATGTGTGACTGATTCTTAAAATTGGATGCATGACAACAAAGATATTTTCGACTGTTTTTAAATAATACAGGCCTAAGCCGCAAAAACAGAAAGCCTCAGAGTACGTGTTTATTGGCCTCGGCTTCGCCTCGGTCGCTTATTACACGTACTCTGAAACTTTTCTGTTTTTCGCGGCCTAGGGCAGTAATATACTATTTTAAATGTCCAATAATATATGTAAAAGTTAGAAATAACTGATATCTAACTATTCCGCATATTTCAGTAGCGTCATTTCACGATTTTCAACTGCGTTCAGGGCAGGACCTCAAAAACAAGCTTTTCGGGACAATCGCCCATATATTGTAAAAAAGTACTAGTAAAAGGAACACATGCTATTCTATCTTGAGAATTTCTCTGAAATGATCGAAGTCGTGGCGATTAAGCAGCTCAACGGCTCCGACTGAATCTTGTCTCGCTTTGTAACGAACACGAACGAAGCCTTTGCAAGCATTCGTGGTCTTTTCTTTGGCTAAATAAAGTTTCTGGATCGTGCCAAATTGTTTCATCAATTCTTCCAGATCGGCGTCTGTGGAACTGTCCAATAGATTTGATATTCTAATCGCTACAGTGTCGATCTTTGCGCTGCATCTACAGCAGAGTTGACACTTTTTTTACCGCCATCACGCATGTTGGGAGGTACGTATCTATTTCCACTTTGTTTGCCAGTTTCGCTTGATTCACTGGCTTTTAATCATCCATCACTTTGTTCGTCTTTAATTTATTTTTCAACTTTTCAATATGGGATAAAAGTATTAGAATTGTGCAAAGAATGTGCCTGAATTTTTTCGTGTAAAACGTGTTAAAATTCCATACGTGTAAAAATTTTCAATAAAATTAATGTATTTGTTCAGTTGGAGGTACTTGAGAGTAAGTTTACGTGAATAACGCTATGAATAATCAAGAAATCGGTAAAATAAGTCTGTGGTGGAAAGGCATAACGACTTAAGTCCATTTCTCGTATTTTCGAGAAAAACGCGTTTTAAATTGATTGTGCCAGCCTAACTATACGCGGATGAGTTGAGGTCTGAACCTATGATGTTTTAAGCTACTATGAGGTAGCTTTTGAACTATGTACTTATGAAATTGAACGGCGCATCATAGCGATGATAGGGAGCAAAAAATATGGACTTAAGTCGTTTTGCCTTTCCACGGTTTGCACTTAAGTCCACTTCTGGCGGTCACACTTTTTTCAATATCGATAATTTCGCGCAGTTTGTTCGCACAACCTCATTTAATGATTTTACATTGATAAGATAGCTCATTTAACGTTATACTGCCGTCAGATCTCAAATCTTGCAACGAAAAAAGGCCAAACTAAAAATCGAGAAAATTGCCCCTCGCGTATCAAATGTAACAATCATATAGTGTAATTCACAACATTCTAAGAGTGTGGAGCTATGTTTAACATTCTAATATCATTTTCTTTCATTTTCAAGTAAAATTAGACTCTCTATAGCATTTTGAAACTCGCAAGGGTGGACTTGAGTCGTTTTGCCTTTCCCCAGTCTTCGCGAAATGGACTTAAGTCGTTATGCACGATGCTGCAACTAACGCTAGACGCTATATTCGTCTATTCTGACCCTTGTACATTAAAATAGACACTAAATATAGACGTTTTCATCATAAAATCGATTTTCAAAAAAATGGACTTAAGTCGTTATGCCTTTCCACCACAGAAGTTCATCAATGAATTACTTGTGTAATTTTACATCTAACACTATTACGTATCGATATAAATGCAAAACTTCACACAATAATAAAAAGTAAGCAAATAGTATATTACGGTCGTAGGCCGCGAAAAACAGAATAGTTTCAGGGTACGTGTAATTAGCGACCGAGGCCAATAAACACGAATTGAAATTTGAACGAGGATAACTTGTTTAAAATGACATTTAAACCACTGTAATTGAAAAATTATCCTATAACTCTCAATATGATTGAGATGGCTCATTTGCTGAAGTCGGTTGGATACAATTTAAGTTTACACGCAAGACGATCAGGATGATGAAATATTGGATGAAAATTCGAGGAAATGATACCGATCATCTCATCGGCGCAGATATTATAGAGTTTCCGTCAAGTAAGTCATTTTATTTTGCTAATATAATAGCTATAATTTATTGCTGAATAATTTTTTTAAATGATTTATTTTTATCCGGGAAGAGTATAACGGATTAAAAGTTAAGACCAAAATATTATATGGGAAACATATCTTGCAAAAACGATTTATTCATTGTAGTTATGGATTTTATATTACACAAGAACCTGAAGATTATATGGACCAAAAATGTGAGGAATTAGAATTAGCTGGAGTATTAGGGAATGTAAACCCGGATAATTACCACCTGTTTGAGGCAAAGGATGTAATTGATGATTTGATAGCTCAAATTGCCCGCACCACAAAGATTATGTTAACCGAAGACGTCTCGCTGTATGAAATTTATCAAATGAGCCACAGCAAAGGTTATTCGATAATAAAAGGTATTAAAAATTGGCGTTTGCCTGCAATGGACGATACTTTGTGTAAGCACGTGAACATCATCACAAAAAGGCACTTGGCAAACATATTAATAAGGCCGCACTTGGAATGGTTGGTAGCCGATCTTTTTATGACGGATCATTGTAAATTACACCTTCCATATACTGTTTGTCACCGTGTGGCGGAATACATGAGCGACGAAGATCTATTCCGTTTATGCGAGCAGACAAACGAAAATCAATTACGACCAATTACGATGCGTCGCAGAAAAAGGTGCAGAAGCAAAGAATCGGTGGCGTCTGTGGGCCTCGAACCACCGACTCGTCGATCGCGCAGATTACAGGGACTTCCAGCAAGTGAAAACCACAGTTGAAAAAGATTCAATGTCCAAATTTTTGCTTTGCCTTTCCAAATTTTAGGATTATCGATTGTGGGTCTTCCAGTTAACCAGCACCATCCATTCTACTGTTTTCGTCTTCGTTGTTAATGAAATATATTGTTATATTTATATTTTATATTTTGATATTGTTCTTAAACTAAAACTTAAAATACAGACGAAATAGTATCAGTAGCATAGCGTTTCTGCGCGAAGCGACGATGACGACAAATCGCACAAATAGAACATTTTTCGCATGACCAAATTCAAGGCACACATATCAACTTGACACTTGTTTTGATACTATTCAATGTGTAAGGGTTTCATGCATACAATAATCAAAATTAATAAGAAGGTTGTGTGAGGTTTTGGTGAAAGTGTTGGTGTCAAAAGAAAGATATAAAAATTTCAATATGAATCAAGAAATTTCAATTTCAAAATTATTAACGCATAAAGTTGTTTTGATGTAGCATTCTCTTGGTGTTTTTGTTTCAGTCCTGAAGAGACTCTAGGATTTTATATTCATGTAATCGTCTTAGTTCTCGTGCTCGCATGTACATATTGTATATTAAGTGTAACTGTAATCATAATTATCATAACGAAGCATTAGAATCAGTTAATATGGGTCTTGATTTATTATGTCTTGATTATATTTGAGATGTAATTCTGTGGTGGAAAGGGCTAACGAGATAACTCCATTTTTTCGAAATCGAGTTCATGACATAAATTACCTATATGTTATGTCTACTTTAAGGTACAAGTGTACCAAAAGCTGAAAATAGCACCTATCGTTAAATATAACACCGTGCCTAACGAGATAAGCCCATTTCGCTGCAGACGATTCCCGGCCAAACGAGATAAGTCCACTTCCGCAATCCCCATACTGCAATACTGAATCTACTTTGATTTACTCTACTGGAGTGGATGGTCGAATATCATCTACTTTAAAAGAAATTTGATTTTTACTATTGTGTTAATCAAATGCACCTAAATAAACATTTCAACTACCGCGTGTGATTTGCTCCGACGCAACAGCAGTATACATAGGCATAAATGTAGATGAACTCATAATACAGCGCTCTCAAGTCCCGATGATATAAACAACACTAGCCG